TTGATGACATTTATTTTGCAGCTGCATGCCACTTCAATCTTTAGTCATTTAAAAAAAAGTGTACAACGACATTTAGAATTGAGAAAGTAATTGATAATCTATTTTGGCCACTTTAAAAAAAAATAAAAAATTCCATTGAATAAGAACTTTTCTTTTCTCCCTCAGGTATCAATGAGCAGGGCCTGTACAGAATCGTTGGTGTCAACTCCAGAGTACAAAAACTACTGAGCTTCGCGATGGGTAAATTCAGAAACACACACATTTAGTCAAAACTGAAGCTAAAATCTATTTTCTCCTCATTAAATTCAATTTCTTTCTCATATTTTATGCCCATCAGATCCAAAGACGTGTGCTGACGTGGAGCTGGAAAACCCAGAGTGGGAGATAAAGACCATCACAAGTGCAATCAAGCACTACCTCAGGTTTGTGTGAAAAGGCTCAAATGAACATATGACGAATAACAATAGTGAAATATAATTTATACAGTAATGCACTATATTCTCTGTGGTTATTGTCATTATTCCCCCATTTTTCTACTTAATTGTATTTTACCGTTTAAAGAATAAGAGTACACTTTAACCCCTGTGGTGAATGAAATGTTTTAATTATTCCTCTAAGTACTGTACATTTCTTCTCTTTTCACTCATAGTGCTTGAATAGAAGCTTCTTTCAGTCCCAGTCTTGTGTGAAGAATAAAGCTGATCTGTGGCCTGGGTCCAGCACAATCAATTCCTAATTTTCCATTTTCATTAATACACTTGTTGCTGTATATGATTTTAAAAATCACACAAAATTGAACACTATAAAATCTACCGAAAATGACAGAGACCATCTTTGAGAGAAATGTATTTAATGCTTATTTGCAATTTTGGGGTTTGGCCCATGTACCATCCACTAACTACCTAACAGAAGCTTTCATTTTGTCCACCTTTATACACATCGAGTCCCTCGAGTACATCCACAGACTTACTTGCAGTTTGCTGCAGCTCAAAACATGAGTCGGTGGAGGGATCAGGGTGGTGGAGGGCTGGCAATGGGCAGCTAAGAGGATTGAGAAATACATGAAGGGAAAGAAAGGTGTTCACGCTGTGCTCAATTTACTGCAACACATTTACTCCATGCACCACTCACATACACGTCAGTACACATATCATTCACATTTGGACACATTGGCAGCATCAGGAACTCGGGTCAGGTGTCGTTGAGAAGCAGCAGGAGCCAATAACGCTCCTCAGGCAGCAGTGATAAGCTGATGTCCGGCTGTGCACGCTGGCATGGTGGAGGAAAATATAAAAAGACACGAGGAAGAATGATGTTTATTCAGTATGTTGACTAACCTGAGGTTCTCTGCCTGACATCTCCGTCCTCTGTGTTTGCAGGATGCTGCCCGCGCCTCTCATGACGTACCAGTACCAGAGGAGCTTCATCAAAGCTGCCAGTGAGTTCTCACCTTTTTTATACTTCTTATTTGCCCATGTGTAGTGAATTTAGCTGGTAGGGCACAAGGCTAACTCTCCTGCAGTTTGAGGTTTGTTTGATTCCCACTGAGGTTACTAAAAACACTGCAAACAGCTATTCTAAGGCCACAGAGGATTACGGTGATTAGACTGAATTAAATAGATCATATGGTTTACATGGAGTGCACATGTTCCTACAACAAACCGGTGGGTCACTGAATCCTGTGGTTTGGTATTAATTTAAGCTGAAATTCTCATGGGTTATGTCATGTTTGTATATCGTGTTTATGAATTGGATTAAATATGGATTCTCTTACCTCTCTGATTTAATGTGTTTGAAGATGCTTTCTAAGCCGGAGAATGAGAACATCATATGACTCATTGTGAGATTGAGGTCACGACTTGCTGTTAAACCAGTTGCCAGTTGTGAATAGACCTTAACCTGCTGAGATACCAGCAAACCCACTGTGCTGTGAGGATGCCTCTGTCTGTGTGTTTGGTCTGGTGGAGGCCCCCCTGACTGCACGGCTTTATGTTGTGTGTGACACGCAGCGTCTCGCTGACCTGCTGCGTGTTGTGTTTTCATGGAATATTAATGAGCTTCAAGTGTAAAAGCTTGGAGAGTGGATCTTAAAGTGATAATGTAAGTGTATGGAGGGTTTTTTTCAGGCAGCAGCTGCAAAAACGTTCCTTTATTAATACCAACACCTGATGGGTGGAGTGTATTGATGCAGGATGAATAATTTCACAATAATTCACATTCATCTGTCTTGAGAACAGTTTGCCAAAATCATTTCAGTGCACTGGATTCTTCACATGTGGCTCCTAGGCAACAAAATAAACTCAAGCAAGCTCTATCTGTTTTTAACATTAAAGTAGAGACTCTTCACAGCACAGTCTGGGTATTTCTGGCCTTATTCTACAATACCACTCAAACCTTTTAGAACACCTTCTAGTTACATTTCTTTTACTCACATTTTAAAATAATTTCAGTGTTTCTGAAATGATTAAGAATGACATTTTTGGTTGAATTTTCTTTAATGTTCACTTTGAAGATATTTTGGGCACTAAGGGCCAGGTCTGAACAGAACCTGCGGCTGCTGCAGAGAACTCGAGCCTCGGTACACGATAGCTAACCTGGTTAATCAGGTGCTCCCGTTGAACTAAATTTTATCAAGGTTGCTGAAGTTCCCACAGATGTGTTGCATTGGCAGGTTGTTTTGCTTCCACTTTGTGTCCAGTTCCTTCCAAATCAGCTCCACCACCAGGGTTTAGGTCCGTCTCTTCCATCTTTCGAAGCAGGTGGTGATCCACTGTGACATCACGTTTAGCTTTGTGTACTGCCGTATTGAAGCCTAGAGTTTTTAATATTTTGTCCAGCGCCATCTTGTTTTTTTGAAACCAGAAGTAACCATACTGGGAGGAGCTGGACACGAGCTTGAGGACAGTGCACGGCCACTTACACCTGTGACCTGCACCCTCAACTCAAGACTGACACCATAAACATTTTCTCTGGTCATTCAAGAGGCACTTTGGCTTCACTACACGCCCCGGAGTTTCCATCCATTTTTCAAACAGCCTATGATTTGAAGCCACATTCTATTTCTCTTCTTCTAATGTTTTGTGTTGTTCTGCTGCTGTGGGATGATCCCCTCACTGGTTAAGCTTTCTTTCTTTGTTACACATTAGAGGTTGTCCTAACGTTGACTCTTTTGTGAGTAATTAACAACCGTTTGAGGTCCTTTGGGAATAATTTGCATTAGTTGACCTCCAAACTAAAAAAGATTGTGTTGTCTGTAAGCTGGTGTAATATAGTTAAGTAAATCTTTCTTAGCTTTACTTTTTCTCTGTTGTGGTTATCTGTGTTCTACTGAATGCTTAAAACTTCGGTTTATTCCATCAAGCTCAGGTGCAGCTCAGTTTACTCTTCTCTGATAGGATGTGTCGGTGACCTTCTTTCTTTGTTTGGTCGGTAGCTAAGCCTCTTAAAAGCCGAGCTGACAGGGGAAAGGAGTCCAGGAAATGGCAGTGTGTCTCTGGCAACACAACCAAGAAATGGCTGCACAGTGAGGCCAACAGGACAGAGAATGAGAACGTGTGTTAATGTGTGTGTCAAGGGAGAGGAGAAGTGTGTAGCATGGCAGAAGAGGATGCCAACCAGCCTGGACCACCCATGCTATAATACATGCATTCATGGATTTGTAATAATCATAAAATACAGCATGTGCTTGCCAGTCGTTTGTATAGGTTTAGAAATGTATAAGTTTGACCTCACCTCTGCTCTTTCCTTCTGTTAAACTTCTTCTCTCTCTTTTTTCCCGAGCCATTCATCAGTTTCTGTTTACGTGGGTGTCTGCAATAATGTGTGTCTGCATATTGAGAGTGCGCTGCTTTTGTATTTCTACCAAGGCGGAGTTTTACAGAAGCAGCTAGGTGTTGTAAGGACAGCGTCCTCGCTTGAACCCCCTCGTTCCGCTCCTCCTTTTTCCTCCTCTTTTTTTTCGCATATCTTTTCCAACTCCTCCCATCACTCCTCAAATCCTCCTCCTCTTCTTTTTTCATTTCACTGTATTTTCTCCCATCCCTTGCTACTCTAGTTTTAAATATTTGGTTTGAACAGAGAGCAGAGGTAGTAAGAAAGGAAGGAATGGAGTGGGAAAAAAAGAAGGAGAGAAAAAGGAGGAGTAGGAGGGAGGGAATGCTGTGCCACCTGGAATAAAACTACCTGCCTCAGGCATGTGCCAACAACAAAATCATAAATACAGTAATTAAACTGACTGTAGTCATTAGTTTTGTTGTCAGTGTCTCTCTTAGATATATTAATAGTTAGTTTTTAATATTTCTTTTCATTAGGAGGAATCTTTCACTCTGCGAGGTGATTTTTCTTTTTTTCAGAAAACATTTTTCTATAGTTTTTGCTCCATAAACTTGGTACATAGGTGGAGGAATAAGAGGAATTTGCATTGAAAGATGTTTACCATGACTTTTGTTATTTATTTCTTCTTTATGAATTTGAGGTTAAGTAAACTAGATACAGATACGCACTGTCAATAATGACTCTTTTCCCCCCAAAAAATACATCTGGCTTTTCTCAGCAATGTGTATAAATACCATTGGCAGTCACTCCCTGGTCAAATGACTCAGCAGTAGATACTTTTTTATCAGTGATGAAAATATGAGACCCAACTGAACACGCTAGTTTATTCTTCCTCGTCTTTATTTTGGCAGTCGTGATGCGATGCTTAGACGTGCATCGAAGATCTTGGTGTTGGCGAGTTAATGGTCATGAACATTTGTTTGCTTATAGTTTTTTACACCTTGGGAAAAATGTGCAAGACAGCAGGGTTTCCGTTTGTGAAGTCGATTTGACTCACAACCACATCAATGTATTCTGTCAGCCGCAACATCATTCCATTCTCCTCAAAGCAATTCAACTAATGTTTCAAGTTAACTTGCCACTTTATCAGGAGATTTATTCTCAAATTTGAACCCTATTGTTATTAATCAAAACATTATTTTTGTCCATCCATCTAACAGCTGTTGGTTGCAGCCACAACCAACACTTGTATTGTGTCTGGTTGTGGCTGCAGCAGGTTTAATGCACCAGTATTCAGAGTCCTTGTCAGATGGTTAAACTAGGTCTAAAACGTCATTCCTCCAAAACCTTTCCAACACTGGATGTGTGTTATATGTTTATATGTGTTTTAAGTTTTCAGAATCAAGCTCATAACTATGTTCATATTTTGGAACGATTGTTGCTAATTTATGTCTTTGCATTTCACTTCTACTCAAATTGTTAATCGCCTTGACATGTTTATCCATTTTTAAGCCTTTTGACCTGATGAAGATCTGAGATTGACATGTGTCCTTTTGAACCTTAGGTGCGGCTCGGAGTTACTGTGTTTTTCATTGACGCTAAATTTCCCAAACTGACAATCCACGGAGCACTCCACCTCAGGCAACAATTGACTATGGACACTTAACAGGATTCTAACTCCCCCCTTAGGCCCTCTTTTTTCATTTTTCACTTTTTTGTCTTCACAACCAAGTGGAATGCCACGATTGCTTTTGAGACATCTGAAATTATGTAGATTTAGCCCTGTTTGTATAATTCATGTGTCATGGTTTTTATTCTACTCAAGTTTTAACATTTGGAACAGACATGAGCCTTAAGACAGGTGATGCTAGTTAGTTTCAAACTCACCTTATAGCCTTAAGCAAAGTAGCAAACTTTAGCTACTACCCCCAGCTCCTCATAGCGGATCCCAAGGCAGTCCCAGCCCACATTGAATATAAAACTCCTCCAGCATACTCTGGATATGGTCCAGAGTTGGCCTTCTACCAGTCGGCTATGCCAGGAATATCTAAACAGACATGGCTTCCAGGTGGCATCCTAATTAGGGGCCTGAACCACCTCAGTTGACTTCCTTTTAACCCAAAGACGCAGTGGTTTGACTCCAAGACCTCACATGTGTGTGAATTCCTCACCCTGCAAGACCACAGGCTTTGCACACTGTAAAAATCTGACCAATCAAAAAAACTTAAAACAAAAAAAAAAGCCAACCCGATTGCCTTGAAAAAGGTGAGTGAATATAACTATTAGTCTGAAGTTATGTTAACTTGTTGTAGTGACTAACTAGCATTTACCTAATTTTGTCAACTTAATAATGATGAGGCAAATTATCCTTAAAAAAGTAAGTCTAACTTACTTTAATATTTTACTCAGTAGAATTTAACACCTTGTTAAGCCCTGATTTGTTAATATTGGCTGTACAAATAAAATTTGATTGATTGAAAAGAAAAATACTAAAAATGATTCAGACATATTCAGACCATGAGCATGGCCTGTAATCCATGATGAGAATTCAGTAAAATGGGAATACAAAAACTCAAGCAGAGCGTGATCTCATGAGACTTGCACAACTTTGAGAGAGCTTTGTAAACACGTACTAATTCATACACCTACTTTCAGGCTTGCTAA